TTAACCAACACTAATTCAGAAAAGGAAGGTCACATTTAACCTACTAATCCTCCAACAAGCAACGAGGACTAGTCACATGGGAGATAGGCTAGAGCATGCCATGAGATATTTCATTTGAGAAGGTTGACTCCCAAAGTGAAAGCGACAGGAATCCAAGGCAGCAAATGCACATGGAACAAGAGCTGGTTTGCGAGGATCAAATAGTGTCACCTTAAGGGACAGATCTAGTGGTGGAGTACTGCAAGGAGCTGTTTCAGGCCCACTGCTCTTTCTGATGAGTACCACTGGCTTGGATTACAGTATACTTAGCGGACTGTTTAAATCTGCAGATGCATAGGCAGACGCTTTTCAAACTAAAGTGCAAAAGCAGGAACATGCATGACCCGGCACGTGTGATTCAGAGCTGCAGGATGTGAAGTGTGAAAGGGATCTACCCGTCACATCTGAATGTGGGGAAGCAATAAAAAAAAAGCACACAGAATAATTGGGCATAGATATAGGAAGCGGTTTGTAATTGAAATAAAGAGCAGGTTCAGAGAGCAACCATAATGAACGATTCCTGGTATCAGTGGATTGTCATATACAGGCAGGTTAAAGGAGACAAACCGCTTCAGTAGTGGAATGAGGACTCAGTGTCACTGATCGAACCTATAATGCTATCCGTTTCGGACAGACAATACGAAAACCTTCTGTACACAGCCTGGAACTCATGTCCTAAGTGGTAGAGGCACAAACGCTGGTGTCCTTAACAACTAAGGTTTAAATAGTACATTCACTTAACAACAAAGCAACCAAACTGCAAGAGGGACTGACTAGCCTCTTGTTCTTACCAAGAAGTCATTCGTGATCTCCCCCAAAATGAAGCACACAACTGTAGTTATTATTAACAACAGACGCCATTACATTTTTCAGTTTTTTTCCAGTGAAGAAAAAACCCACGGCATTAAAAAAACTACACATTATAAAATCCGTGGCAAACCATTTGCAGAAGTATCTACCCAGCGACACCTCCCTTAACTGATCGTTGGGGTTTACAATATTTGACAAAACTTCCTCCATTTAAGATCTGTGCTTGGAGAAAGCCAGGAGCAGCGACAGCAATTCTCATCATTTCAAAGAGACACTGGAGTCTTCATCGCAGAGAAATGAAGTGGAGGAAAACAATCACAGGAATGTCAAAACCATCTTTCGTCTTCTGGAAGCCAACGAAAAGGCAAATTATCAGGTTTTCTCTTACAATCACCGTCACAAAAGGTGAAAACAACTGACTGGATAATCTTGTCACAGACTGTAATTAAGCATCAACATTCCTTTTCAAGGGTGTCATGGCTTATGAAGCGAAATAACTTCATTTATTTCAGTTTAAGGAGCAGGATAAAAAAAAAAAAACTATCCTACCGCAAAACGTCTCAAAGATTATGGAACCACTCTCATGGCTTTGAATGGATGTACGGATATTGTACACTGTGTTAACCGTGATATTTTGCACTGCCTTTTGCCTGGTCTGTGCAGGATGCTGTGTCTCGCCTAACAGCTTGAACAAGCTCTTAGCTCTCAGCCACCGGCTACAACGTTGTGAGATGGTGGACACAGGGCAGTCAGTGTTGTCCGGATGTGTGTGACAGGTGCCACACCTGCATATTATACTATGTAAACTGAAACACTGCTTTCTGATGCAGAACGGAGGTTCCTACAGTTAAATGTGACTCTTAGTTGAGCTTAAACATTTACGTTAGACACTGACAAACATGTCAAAGGGTCAGACAGACAACAAAGCATTACTAGAAACCCAGAACAAACAACCTGGCTTTTTTGCTTTACAGTCAACATCAGAAAACATTTTAGAATTGTGTATTAATTCCATTTTGCAACAAAATACAGATCACACCTAATAATTTTATTATTATAACACCATTTTATAAAAAAAAATAGGAGGAGCACTGATATTTTTTTATTTCATTCTTTTACATAAAAACCATTAGGAAAACTGCCTCTCTCTTGTCCTGTATTTTAGGTCCTCTCCTTTCAGGAAAGAGTGAATACCAAAAACAAGTGGAAGAGTGCATCTAAACAAAATCTTCATTAGAGATTCATCTGTAATATCCCAAGTTTTAATTTTGCTGCACACAAGTAAATAATATCAGTGTAGATCTTTCCTGGTGTTACCAGTAAAGCTTAATAAAAACACAGACATATATGGTTAAGTGCTCATCAAAACAGTACAGCAGAACAGGATTTAAATTTCTCTTTAAATGGAAGACTTTAATTTGTAAATGTGGTGTTACACAATTTCCGAGATGACTGCATGTGCAAAGATCCACTGCTGCTTGCTATACATCCTCAGACGCTATCAAACAAAATCAGACATGGTGCTCAGCTGCTCCCTCCGACTGACTGTGGGCAGAAATAATTCATTGCATCTAAAAAGAGCTGTTCATCCACATGCTTCCCTGGGTGCTTTATTCATGGGAGGGACCCCACTGCAGCCAGCCACACGTGACACATGACAGATCCAGCTCACACATCGCTCACGATCACTCCACCCCACGTCTCTGCAGGTCAGCAGGAGGGGAGCTTTAGGGGGAGGCCAGACTGGATGGGCCACGAGTGAAGCTGAGCCGGGACTTACAGGTTGACACCCTTGCTCTTACAAACAGTGCCCAGGTCTCGTTTAACAACCTCGTAGTAAGAACATCAGCAGAAAACAGCTGATCATTATCACTAGTTTATCACGCACTGGTATACCTGACTAATTTAAAATCGCCACAAAATTGTCATGCTTGAACTTACAAATCAAGTCTTTCGATTTTAGCGCAGTTTTAAAATCACAAATGCAGTTTCAAAGTTTCCAGGTAAGAACTCAGCTGTATGGTCACCACACTTAAAAAAAAAAAAGAAAAAAGAAAACCGAACTGAACTTTAAAAAACTGAATCATAACCAAACATCCCAAATCTTACTTCTCTAGTATGAGTTCCTTTCATGAACTACTGAAAAATGCAGGTACCAGAAACTAATAAAACACCTTTGAATGGTTTGAATACTATCTTCTCAGCATGTCAGACCTTCAGAATACAGGATTTCTGGAGAGAGAGAGAGAAGTGACAGCACAAACTTTTTCAGGAATGCTACTCTCCCACCTTGCAATCAAGTATCACAAGAGGGACAGGGACAAAATGATCGCCTGCATAAAATGAGTCCAATACGCTGTAACATTTAATGTTCCCTGAGAAAGGTGTGCCCATTTCTTGGAGTATTTCAAAAATAATTGACAAGAGCTGATGGATGATGGCTGGCGGAATCACATAAGATTGCTTAATGTTGATCAGGAGCTGACAACATGAATGTCAGGGCTGCCCCTGTTGCCACACAACCCTACACAGCACAGCCACCTTTCAAAACACCCTGAATGAGCATGAGAATCACAGTTCATTCATCCTCTTAGGTCCCATAATACACTCACCATCTTAATTCTACCCTGTATTCCAGGTCCAATCACAGATATTAACAGGACAGGCAACCCCCTATAGTTTGCATTCCTGGTGTGGCAATTCTGTTGCCTTAAAGCCTCATTCAGTAGACTCTTGTTTGGGAACCACACCGAATTCACTGAAGGCTCTAAAGGGATACCGCTGCAGACCTTAACACTGAAGAGTCAACAGGTCTATCGGACCTAGGGCCATTTCATCCTCTATTTCAAAGAGGGCCACAATAATAAAAACAAATCGCCTTTTTGGCTCACAATCCAAAAAGAGGTTTTAATTATTGAAATGCTGTAGCGCATGCAGTAGTTCTAATTCCTTTCAGCGGGTGCATTTCACATCCAAGATGTTCTTAACCTGTCGCAGAGGAAAGCAGGTAACGCAGGTGTCCTATTCCTGAATGAACTCTTTTTTTTAACTTGGGGGGGGGGGGTTCTTGTACGGCTCCTTTTGGACTATCAATGGTACAGGTCAAAAATAACATGGAGCACCATAAGATGGAATTAGAACCTAATTGAAAACATGCTGGGGATGGTGACCTATTGTGTGCTTTTTTTTTTTTTTTTTTTTTACTGCACTGCCCAGGGGTAAGCTTAGTCTCACCCCACAGGGACACACAGGGCCATAAAGACAAATTCCTGAACAATGAAACCGGCTAAACCTCAGGCCCACTTCAGACCCTCTGTGCAACCTCTACTCCAATGCATTCAATTCTGAATATACACCTGCGACACTTGCTAACTCACAATACTAACTCTTATACCCACACTGACAGCACGCAACACATGACTTGAACAAGACCTTGTATTCTGTATTTGTGTATTTTCGTATCCTTTTTATTGTTTCTTTTTAGTTTAAATGGCTACAAACCTGATATAAAGTAATGCACTATACATAAAGCTTGCATGTATAAATATTAATCACTGCATAATGATCTATCATCAAAGTTGCATAAATGACTGTAAGCTGTATACGCCACTGCAGTTCCTTTAAAGTACCCTGAGACTTAGCTAATAAAACAAATCACCCATCCCAATCAATGTACTGTGCACGATACAATCATGTCATGGTCTCCCTCACGAGTGACCCGAAATTTGGAAAACACAAGTTTTTTGTATGTCATTATTAACAAAACAACACAGCTCAGAGACACAAATGTTCACCCTCTATAGTAAACTCTACATTTTACCAGGCCTTAAGTGGTTCACTGCAAGCTAATGGGCACTGACCATGCATGAACGAAAGGCATAACATTAATGAAAGACAGCACCCTGTCTGAGCCATCACAATCAGAGCAAAGCGGACATGCAAGAAGGCCCAGTCTCAGTCAGAAAGGAGCGAGATAATTCTGAATTAATCCCTGAAATTATGAAGGCTGCTTTGAAAACACCATATTTGAATTGCAACGTTTCAGAATGTGTCCAAAAAAACAAGTGCTCCTCTTTTTTTTTTTTGCAAACAAGTAAAAAAATTAAAACCCACTGGACCATTTAATTTATTCAGAAATGGGGTGCACTCACCTCGTGCTCCCAGACTTTCTTCAGGGTTCACACTGATACACCTGACTGAGCTTTGTCTCTTGGCCATAAAATGCATTTCTCTCTTCTTTAATCACACTTCTGTAACTAACACAGAAAAAGGGGAGGTGTGTTAATTCCACTGTCAGTAACACACTACATGTGCCCCTCTTTCACTGGGGAACCTACAACTGTCAGAGCAGCATTATAAACAACTCCAAGCTTCACACAGAGCTGTGGATCCAATAACATGTAAGTGTCAGAGGTCAGTGGCACTGACCAAGATAAACGTAAGCTTTATTCTACAGATCAGAAGGGCGAAAAACAGATCTGTACAAAAGGAATACAAAACGCCATTAGCTCATCAGGTATGGACTGTGAAAAGGTTATCTGAACCCGTAAAACTAATACCTCTTGCACAGAGCAGGGCAGACAAGAACCCCAAGTCAAGTCTGAAGCCTGTAACGTCATGTCCCGCTGGCCTGGGGCTCCTGTAATGAACTATTTCAGGTTCCTCGGGAATAAAGAATGGTTTAAACATCTACTTTCCTGTTCTAACGTTTCAGCCTCTTTTCTTTCACCTGGCAACACCCTCATCACTCTTGTTTTGGTCACCAATCTTTCTAACAGTATGACGGTTCTCGGCGCCATTTCTAAACTCTGCGACAGGCACGGCAACTCGGGAGGAACAGGCGACGAAAGTCTAGCGAAAGGAAGAAGAGGAGCTGCTGCACTCCGAGGCAGGAGCTCGACCCTCAGACAGCGCAGAACGAACCGCGTTTCTTCACAAGCTTTCCAGGGGGCTGACAGAATTCTGCAACCAGCCTCCATGCTGTCCTGTATTGCAAATTGATCTTAATTGGTCCAGACCTCATCGGTGCTTAAAACATCATCGCAGGTGCAACAGCCAGAGCTCAGCGTGAACTTCTGAGCTTGGCTGGTATGACAATTGTACAACCACTGTTGCTGCCCCTTCTGCAAACAATCCCCACACAAGAGAGAACAGCCCCGCCCCCCCGGAGATGACCTCTGACCTTTGCTGTCTTCCTGTGACCAGAGGAGGAGGAGTCTGGGTAGTGGGCCCAGGGCATGCCCACGCACTGGATGAGTGAAATATTGTCCTTTAAGGTGGTCTTGCAGAGTATCCGATTTCTGTGAGCTTAATCCTCAATATTCCTGTTCGATTTCCAGTTTTTTTGGGTTTTAATTTGCAAAAGAACTAAAGGTCTCGCCACCAATCAACACAACACCCCCAAACAGAATTTGCCTGTTTTGAATGTGCCTGATTTTAGGAAAACGACAGCCAGAAAAGTCCAGAGGAACCACAAAACTAAACCAGACATAGCATGGCATTTTTAGCATGGAATTTTAAAATGATTAAACGCCAGAATGGCTGAGCCTTCTTAAACGGATGTTTAAATCCCCCCCCGCCACAGTTCAACACACAACACTACTTTAATGCAAGAGCCCGTCAGTTGGTTAAAAACCTAAGACAACCCTTCAATAAAACACACAGTTCTGAAAAGCGATGACGACAATAACTTAGCACTCCGCTCTAAAAAAATAAATAAAGAAGTACTACTCTGCACTCCAGCTAAAACAATGAAATAAAACGCAGTTAGCCCGACGTACAATTTAACTGACACAGAGGCTACGCATGAATTAACCGAACTGGAATAAGCAGATAAACGTTTTCTTTAGATACTGGGAGTCAATCGAACCGTCAGGTCCCCTGAAACGCTGCTCGGACACGAGCTGGAGACGCACACCTCCCTGCTCTGTGGCATGAGTGACCTGTGTGCACCAATGGCCAGGACAGCCTTCTCCGTCCAGTCCACTGCCACTGCAATCTTCCCGGCAGGTGATTAACAGTCTGTGCTGCTGGCCCCAGCCAAGCGTAGCTTGGTTGCAGACTTAACCTCTGGGACCTTTCAGCACCTGAGATGACCGGCGTTTGGACCGGAGCAATGGAGGGGGGGGGGAGTCTTTCTGTAGGAAAAGCATTCCTCCCACGTGGAAGTAAAACACTCTGAACTCTGAAGTCAGAGGCCATGCTTCACTCAAATGCATTTTTTTTTCAGGGAGGAGGGGCAGCCAATCTTAAATTTGAAACAATACAGGATTGGTACGGTCAAGTCCAGTCGCTTTGCAATAGTTATTACCAGTGATGCCATTAAAAGTGCAAAATCCAGTGCTTAGGATCTGGACTGCAAGGAGAACACAAAGTGATTGTTACCAGCTGTCACGACTCCGGGCATTCATAATATAATTAATGACAATTAGAGACCGGAGGAGTAATTCTAAAATACACCTTACACATGCTTTAAATGGAAAAGGGAAAATACTGATACGCTATATAACGTATTTAAGAAAAACATAAACCCTTCCACACGCTGTTTAAAAGCCCTTCAGCAGTCCTCAGCCCTGTCGCTTTGATGCAAGAAATCGCACGTGTTTAGCGCTACTTCCTGATTAACGCGGGCGGCAGCGTGTCGGACGCGAACTTTAATTTGACATGTGTTGCCTTTCGGAAAGTTTTCTTTTTTTTTTTTGGTTGGGCTCAAAACTGCTGCGTTCGCCGTGTACACGCGAAAGGACCTACACCGCCGCGCCACCTACTCGCTCCGGTGAAAAGCAAATGTGTACAAAAAGAAAAATCACCACTTAACCAAAAAAAAAAATATATATAAAAGAATAACGTTGCGGAGAAACTGAACAACAACTTCGTAGTGAAGGTCCCGCACTCACAGCGGAGACGGATTGCGCTCAGTGATCAAAGACTGAGCGTCTCCGTGTTGCCCTGTTTCTGGCCCACGGGAGAGCTTTTTATGCTCCTCTCCGCCGGCTGCTGCCCAGTCCCCGCAGTTGTTTTTTTCCCTTCTCCCCCCACCCGTTCATTTTCCGCGAGTGGGCCTTGAGGAGCCGCCGAGGAACTCCAGCCCGCAGAGAGCCCATCCCGCCCGGGCAGGGTGCAGCCGAAACCCCGCCGGAGAGGTACCCCACGGCCGCTTACTTCATACCACGAGTTTCTGGGGTTGTTTTTTTTTTCCCCCTCCTCCCTTCTCCTTCTCTTTCTTTTTTTTAAATCCAACGCTTACCGAGGCTACTGCACGCTACGAGTCCCAGCCATCAGCCACGAAACGTGCAACCACGGCGCCGCGCTGAGCTCGGTCGCACCCTGCTGCATGATGGATGCACCACGACTGACACGAATTTAGTATGCAATTTTTTTTACCCAACCAACCAACAAACCAACCACCACCACCACC